TTTATCTTTAGCGCCAAAGAGATGTCATAATCAATGCACCCTGCCTGATGGTCTTTCAGGTGGCATTTACAGTGGTGACAATGGTCCCTTTGGAGCAAGATGGGCAGCAGCTGGCTGGGACGGTCCACAGAGATTGCCATGTTGCTGTTGGCACAGTCTGCTCCTGCTTTCTCTGAGACAAGTGTACACAAAAGAGCTGGAGCGGAGCAGCAGGGAGAGCACATTCAATCTGTCTCTGATGCTGGCTCCTAGTTGCAACGTCCCTGCTAGAGAAAGACATGGCACAGTCTCTCCACCACAGTGAGACCCAGCAAACCCCCATGGCTTCAGACTGGTTAGGACTTTATTCTGAGCTGTGTTTCTGGTAATGGGCTTGCAGAAGTTCTGGCAGAGCTGCAGACCTGGTCCCAAGACAGAACGGACAAGCAGAGAAGCACATTGCAGCAGGTTAAAAGGTGAGGGAGAATTACTGCATATCCAATGCTCTGTGATAACCACTCCTGCGCTGTGCCAGCTCCTATCCCGCAGAAAGCGGAGGCAGAAGAGTGGTATGTGACCCGGCATTGCACTGGATTCTCATTGACCCCCGTGTAGATGAGCAGTGACCACACTGAAGGCAATGGGGTTGTAGGATGTCTTGTCCCAAGGACTATTGCTCCCCTGCCAAGCTTCACAGTGACCCAGAGCAGTACACAGCCCCCAGCCTCCACCTCGGGTGTGTGAGCACTGCTTCATGTGCACACACCACAGCTGTCAGCATCTCCACCGCCCCTGACACAGGGTTCAGTGTTGTGTGCCGGCGTCCAGGGCTTCTCGCAACAAGAGCCTTCTGCTCATCTCCTGCTTGCTCCCACCACAGCACCACTTCTCTGGTGTACACTTTTACCATCCGCTGTGCAGAAGATGGGGATGCTGGAGATTAGTACTGTGGGTAGAGCTGGAATTGCCCCCTCTCAGTAGTATAGCCCAATGCAAAAATCTTTTGTATGGAGCCTGCCCAGCAAGAGACCAGGGAGCTGCACTCCTTCCCAGGTGGAACAGGGTCCTCTGGAGGTGCACAGGACTTCCCATGCCCTTCGTGGGAGAGCTGCCTGCCTGCCAGGGGAAACAGAGTCGCTGTCCTGAGCTCAATATGGCCTTTGAGGCTGAGAGCAGGGCTCAGGGCACCATCCGACTGTGCTGCACACCTCCTCTAGCTGATCATCTGCTAGTCCAGGGCCTAGAAATGGCCTGGCTCTCCAAATATCAGATCTCTAAAGCTCTTATGAAAAAAATAACTTGCCTCCAGATGTGTGTCTATTAGTGCCTTACACCACATCAGTCATCCCCAGCCCAGGATAGAGGCTGAGAGGTGGCTGGGTTTCAGTGCGCGTGCACTTCCCCATGGAGGAAATCCTGAGCATGAACAGTATTCTAAGAGTGAAAAAGGTAATAAGGGATAATAAAGAGAAACACAGTGGTTAGTCTACTGGCTACTTTCTGGCCAGTAGAGACCAGCATCTGAGGGCTAATGCTCTCTGAGAGAGAATCTGGGATTGCAATCAGAGTGCCTGATGCAAGAGACGCTGTAGGCAGAGCCAGTCTTAGGAGCAGGTGATTGTGGGCAACTGCTAAGGGCACAGTGTCCAGGGGGTGACACATATACCACAAGTGGCAGGCAGTTGCTTGGGGCCCCACAGGACACCAGGGTGGGGAGGAGGAAGCCTTGGTGGTGCAGGGCAGGCTGCCTGGGATTTGACACGTGGAGGTGGCAGCAGCACCTGTCCCCACTGGAGGGGGGTGGGCAGGGTAGGGTGGAGCGGTGGATGCAGGGAAAGGCTGTGGCCAAGTCTTGTATGCATGTGGCCGGTTGCGTGTCAGGCCCTGGACGAGCCCCGTGGCAGATGCAAGGCACCAAAGCCCCCGTGCCAGCACTTGCCAGCCATTCGTTGCAGACTCCTTGTCCCTCTGTTTTGGCTCCATGGGGCTGCAGCTCGCAGTATCTGACACAGGCAGACACGCTGCCCAGCTGCCCGGCTCATTGGACGGAGCCCCTCCGCAGAAGGGCAGCAGCACCCGGGAGGGGAGAGAGCCGGGGGGTGGACACAAATAGGGGTGCCGGGGTGGGGCGCCAAATTCAAGTTCACCCGAAGGCACCATTTTCCATGAGGCCGGCTCTGACTGTAAGAATCCTCTGCCAAAATCAGACCTGAGATGACACATGGCCAAGAAACCCATAATAGATTGCTATACTGATCCACTCCTGTCCAAAAAAATCAGCTGGCATTTCCTCTTTGTTTTGAGCAGCTACGGGCTTCTCACTTGGCCTTGTGCAGTCCCATTTTCAAGCTCTGTAAGTGAAGGCTGCATTTGAAACAGATGTAAGCAAAATAAGGTATTAGGTGCCATGCACCCACACAGCACCCCTGGGCCATCCACCCCCCAGCAGCTCCTATCACGTACATGCCCTCCTTTTTCTGTCAACCAGGGGACTCGATTTGCCAGGTGCTGAGCAGGAAATGAAGCCTTAGTGACATGCTCAATTGAAGAAGGACCTGGCAGGGTGGTAACTGATACCAGAACATACTTTAAACCATACAGAACATTCACTCTGAACAACCACTGCTCTGTTATGGGCACTCCAAGAATTGAGGTTTTCATTAATATATTGGCATTTGTAGACTTCTTTTGGTATTATTGAAATCCATGAGAGTCTTAACATTGGCCTCAGTAGGAGCTAGTCCTTCTGGAGCTATGAATGGGATGAAGCATGCACAGGCTGAGATAATGTGCCTCTGCACCAGGAGGTGCTGTGCTCCCCACTGTCATAGCACTGGACCCTTCAGAAAAGGTCTTGGTAAAAACCAAGCCCAATCTAAAGCCCCATTAGCATTATGCCATTCAGTTCCCAGATCAGTGGTTAGGACCTGCTGGACATTTTCTTGTCTCTAAAGGATCAAGATGCTGTCTTGGACACACTCTGCATGCTCCGCTTGCAATAACTGATTCTGTTTGGAAAGTGTAATCCTCTGCACCTGCAAGTTGCATCTTTCTGCTTAAAATTGGAAGGTCCCATATTCCTGTTGCTGCATCTAGCTGCACTGAAAAACCTTCTGTAACCTTCAGTGAACCTTTCCATATACACAGTGTTTAAAACCTCAGAGTCAACAATCTGCTGCTGTGTAGATGAGAGCCTGCCTCCCATTAAAGCTATGTATCCCTGAAGAACAGTAGAGTGACCTGCAGCTGTTTCCTCTCGACAATGCAGCCAAGAAGGGACAGGAAGCCTCAAGCATCATTGAACTCAGTCTCGTATTTGCATATTGGCCTATACTGGCAATTAAAAGATGCAGGATTGCAGGGATGCAGCATTATAAGCTCCTGCCACATAATACTAAGATTTGGAAGCACCCCAAGTAAAGAAGCACCATGATGTTATGGATGCAGCTGAACTGGCTCCTCTGATGCTGGTGACTACTACTGTGAGCAGCACTATAGCAGCCCTCTCACGGTGATACACTGCGGTACAAAAGCCTCCTTTGTGTTGCAGCAACCAGAGCATGCAGCAGAATGAAGCAGGGAGGCTGTTTCTGACACAACATGCTTGGAAAAATTAGAAAGAACAGTCCTTGTAATGGGACTGGTTAATCTCAGCTTGTTTGATTCATTGATTTTAAGTTTGTTTTTGCAAAATTACTTTCCAGTGGAAAAGCCTCACACACACATACATACACACACACACACATACCCAAAGGTGCTAAATTATTGTCAGGAAGCTCCTCAGTGGAGAAGACACCTGCATCAGTACTCTCCATTTGAACTGCTCTTGGGACAATTGCTCTGGATGCCATTACCTGTTGCATCAAAATATCATGAACCTAGAAGGCCCAACCTCTGAAGGAATTTAAGAAAGGAGATGTTGAACTAAAATGTCAGCACAAAAACATTCAATAGAAGGCAAAGACAAACTCATACATAACAGGAGCTGTCGCCAGAGGACAGAGTTTGGCCCAGAAGGTCCCAAATGTTTGCAGTTGTTCAGCATATGGCAAAAACTCCTAAATCCTACTTAGTGGAGACTCCAAAAAGCTTTCTACAAGGATCATTTTCAATATCACCAACCTTAATAGAAAGAGGATCAGACACCACCATAGGCAGTGTCAAACCACAGGAGTGTTTCCTTCCTCAAAGGAGTCTGCAGGAGAGCTCTGTCAGAGGGGGAAGCTTTACCGGAGTCAGAACATCATCAGAAAGACCAAGCACACCTAGTAGAGATGTGACCTGCAGACAAGCATGTCTATGCCATTGGACTGGCTCAGCAATGTAAAGAGTTTCCATGGGCTATAGTTCATTGCTAATGAATTTTAAGGAGATGTAGTCTTCTTTTGCTCTTGGAAAAGACAGGAAGATATGGAGGCCTGATGCTGCACACCACCAGAGAGCCCAGCAAGGCACTAGTAATATCGGGCAGACAGCCCTACCAGGGAGGTAGGCTGCAAACCACACACTGGCTGCACTCGCCTCTCCCCCTCACACTACGAGCAGTGCAGCAATTTTGAGGGCTCCGGCCAAGGCAGCAGTTTGCAGCCTCTTCTCCCTCCCGCTGCACAGGTCAAGGGGTGACAGTGTAGCGCAGGGGCAGACAAGCCTGCAGCTTCCAGCCCCTTAGCCCCCTTATAGCCCCGTCCCTGTATGAGGAACTCCACTGTGGGACAAGTGACCCATCGGATGCGGGAACCGAATAAATTGCAGCTGCTTCTCCCTGAAAATACAGGACATGAGAGGCAGCTCCACAACCCAGGACAAGGTTACCTGCTGACAAGCAAGGGGGAGAAAAGAGAAGATTATGGGAGCAACCTCCTCTTCAATCTCTGGAGCTGCACTTTCTGCCAGGAAATGTATTTGCTCTCCCAGAGCAGGGCTGTCTCTGCCCGGGCCACCAGGAAAGGCACTTTTCATTGAGTTGCTAGTTTGCATAGGGACTGCGCCCTGCTCTGGGGAGCAGCTATAAAGGGGCCGGTTTAACGCTTGGTGTCTCTCAGCTCCGTGTCAGTCGGTGCAGAAGCAGCAAGATGCTGTGGCAGACTCAGCTCCTCTGGCTCCTCATGCTCTGGGCACAGGGTAAGGACAGCAGCAGGAAACAGAACCACTCAAAACTGCTAGTACCTGGCATGGTTTAGGCCTTTTTTCTGCAGTGCATTTAGAATCTGGAATACTTGTAGGTCCACTAATTGTCTCCAGTATCATACATACACCTAAAGTATCTCAAAGGAGCTGGCAGGGTTTAAAAAAATAAAAAATCTCTCCTCTTGCTGGGAGTTATAACATTTGGGTTCTCTGATGTTCTGTTCATTTTGAGCATTTTCCCCCATTGTAGGCTCCAGTGGGGACAATCCTGTGACTCAGATGCCAGAATCTGTGGCAGTGGCTCTAGGAGACACTGTCACCATCAAGTGCAGAGTCAGCTCCAGCATCAGCAGCAACATGGACCTATTCCACCAGAAACCAGGGCAACCTCCTAGGATCCTTCTCTACAAAACAAACAGCCGCCCCTCCGGGATCCCCGACCGGTTCAGTGGCAGTGGGTCTGGCACCGACTTCACCTTTACCATCAGCCGGGTGGAAGCTGAAGATGCTGGAGATTATTACTGTCAGCAGAATAATGACGCCCATCTCACAGTGCTACAGCCCCGTACAAAAACCTCCCTGCTCTGCTTCGTTCTGCTGCTCCCGGCACTAGCTGCTTCCTGCCCAGAGTCACAGAGCAGTCACTGCTGCCCCGTTACATCACGGGCAGGAGCTGGTCACAGTCACAGCTCCTCACCTGCTAATTCTCTCCCTGGGTCATGGTTCTCCTGTGCAGTGCCCACAGGGGACCCAAGGACTCCTAACTGCACATCACAGTGCACAGAGGAATGAAGCCTGTGGTGGAGAATTGACTCTCACTCACAGATCTCTGCTACAAACTTGGAGGCAGTGATTCCTTACTTGGGACTCAACTATCTTTCTTCTACATCTGAAGGTCTGCTGGACCTGAACAAGCACCTGCCATTGCCCCTGATGTCAGCATACGGTCAAAGCATTTCTGTACATTTATACCTTCTTCTGAAAATGGAGACGTGGTTTGGTAGATGTAGGAGTACGCTGAATACTTGGTAACCTGAGTTCGAGTCTTACATCTTCTATTGACATTGGTCAAAATCCTATTGCACCTGCATGCGCTGAAGTATCACCTCTGTCACTTCTAAAGTGAAATCTCTGTCAGCTTCACACATCTGAATCTTTTTCCCCACGTGTGACTCCTGCATGCTCAGAAGGCTGCATTCAGGCCACACAGACTCTGGCAGCACTAGGATTGGCCCAATAGTGAAGGAAAGTGCCTTATTACTTTCCATCCCATTACAAACATGAGGCACAAGGGCCAGGGGCCAGAGACCACCACCCGCTCCCTTCCAGGACAGTGTATCCATCACTCAGCCCTCCTCCTTCTGGCCCCACAGGGATGTTGGCAGCTCTACACACTGCTACAAGAGGAAGCGGGGTGCTGTGGCCTTTTGGACAGAGCATTTCTGTGGGGAGCAGGGGATGCCGGGTCACAGGGCTGTGAACAAAGAAACCTTGGACCTGGGTCTCCCGCCCCTTGGGCAAGTGCCCTAAGCTCTCGGCTGCTGAGCTGGAAGGGGCTGGGCTGCCACCTCCTACCACAGCTGCCAGCCCTGATGTCTCTGCAAGCTCCCCAGTGTTATGCCCTGCCTGGGGTGCCCTATTCTTCCCACAGCCTGTGTGGTCTGAGTTTGTGTTCAGAGAGCAAGCACAGCTTGGATGGAGGTAAAGAAGTGCAAACAGATCCCAAATGCTGCCTAAGAGCCAACAAAGGCCATTTGTAGGACCAAGGACATACCTCAAAGTGCAGAAAGGGGAATTCATTAGGAGATATTTCATTAAGGATAGTTTTTAGAGGAGTCATTCAGGGTAGAGACTGGCTTGGATCAAGGCATGTAAGTGTCCAGATTAGGGAGTCTGCAGCTGCAAGGCAGAGGAAGTTAAAGAAGCTAGCCCCTAGAAAGGGGCCGGTGTAACGCTTGGTGTCTCTCAGCTCCGTATCAGTCGGTGCAGAAGCAGCAAGATGCTGTGACAGACTCAGCTCCTCTGGCTCCTTCTGCTCTGGGCAAAGGTTAAGGACAGCAGCCAAAGAAAAATTAGAGCAAAATGATAACAGTTATCAGAAAATGAAATGGTGCTTTTGGCAAAATAGCACTTAATTCTCTTAACAGTCTTCAGAAGTCTTGAATATATCTATGTTTAAGTAATGTAGAGAAAAAAAAAAGTCTGCATTTTCTTTTTTAATCATGATTTTATTGGAGTTGTTTCATAGTATTTCTATTCCCTCAAACAGGCTCCAGCGGGAACATTATTGTGACTCAGACTCCAGAGTCCCTGGCCGTGCCCTCAGAAGACACAGTCACCATCAAGTGCAAAACCAGTCCCAGTGTTAGCAAATACATGAACTTTTACCAGCAGAAACCAGGCCAGGCCCCTAAACTCCTCATCTACAACACCAACAACCATCTTTCTGGGGTCCCCGACCAGTTCAGTGGCAGTGGGTCCAGCATGGACTTCACTTTACTATGAGCCGGGTTCAAGTCGATGATGCTGGAGATTATTACTGTTTACAGCAGAACAACTGGCCTCTCAGTGCCACAGCCCCATACAACAACCTCCCTGCTCTATTCACAGTCTGTTGCTCTCGGCACCTCCTGCTTCCTGCACAGTCACCGGCCAGGGACTCTTAATGTCTTGTAGCACAGGACTGGTCGTGTTCATACACTTCACCCGTTAGTGTTCACGGCCCAATGTCAGCGCAGAAACTTCAACATCACCTGGCAGACTCCGTTTCTCTGACTCCTCACACTCCAGATCCTGAGGAATAGCAGGAAAAGGGGAGAGATGAGCTCAGAATAGGATTTTGATGCCCATTGGGCTGCTGTAGTTAAGCCACATGATGTCCTCTAGCCACCACTCTACAAGGAAGCAACATATTCAGGACCACAACCCGGCACCTCTGACTGCCCATCCAGAACGGCAAGGTGCCCGTCTATGTCGACAGGAAGCAGCTTTTGACATGAGTGCAGCGCAGGGCTCAGACTCACATCTCTGGAAGGGCAGCACGGGACCTCGGTCAGTCTGGCACCACCCTTCTCAGGGCTGCAGGTAGTCCTTACTTTAGCCTTTGTTCTCTGCTGCACATAATGACTAAGTGGTAGTTTTATATATCTCTTCCCATGGCTATTCATTGCCATTTGGAGCAGGCAAAGGTAAAATAAAATATCTTCCTCTTAGTTGTTAGGCAATGACAATTTCTCAGTCTCTGTCAACTAGGAGCAAAGAGGTCCATGCAGCACAAGGCGGGAAACAACCCTTTATAATAAAAATGATTATCAGAAGCAGCTTAGGTATTTTTTATTTCTATTTTTTTACATTAACAGAATCAGCACCAATTTAAAAAATATTTTTTCTTTTTAAAATTTTTCTCCAAGATACACACTTAGTGGTCCCAGCTCTTTAGATGATGACCGTCTTTTAACTTGTGAATATTTAATCCCACCTGAATCTCACTGCTATGAAGGCAAGGCACTGTGTGTCCATTCCAGCTTTTACATTAAGTAATCCACACAGAGTTTCTGGAGAAGGTGGATAGGTGCTTTGATTACAGCGTGTGAGCACCTCCCACTGTAAAAGTCTTGGTATGAATGCATTCTTTTCTTTCTGGCAGCGAGTGGCATCACTACAACTAATGGCTCTAAACCAAGACCAAGTCAATTCGAATGAGAAACAAGATGCAAATTACAAGCAATGAACATCTGTAACCAATGGACTCGGTCACCAGGGGACGTTCTAGACTCTCCTTCTGATACCTTGGCATCCGGACTGAATACTTCCCTGCAAACCGCATTGCACCAAAGTCACGTTTTACTTTTCTCAAATGGTCAGTTCAGGGGGAACACCGTGAGCTTAACAGGCCCTAACAAACCAGAGATCAATCTGATGGTCCCTTCTGGTCACTAGATGGCACCCTGTGAATTGTACTGCTCCCAGCTGATAATCTGTGCATAGTTTTGTCACCAATGGCCATAGGAAACATTGCAAGGATATTATACCCAAACCAGCTTGGACATGCTGCACATCACAGCTCACACTGAGGGGTTCATAGATTTCATAGGCATTAGTTCTGGAAGGGACCTCGGAAGATCATCGAGTCCAGCCCCCTGCCCCAGGGGCCAGAAGTCAGCTGGGGTCACAGGATCCCAGCAAGATAAAAGTCCAATTGACTCTTAAAGGAGTCCAGAGTAGGTGCTTGCACCACCTGTGGTGGCAGTGTGCTCCAGGACTTGGGGGCTCGGGCAGTAAAGAAGTCCTTCCTTATGTCCAGCCTGAAATGGTCTTAGAGGAGTTTGTGACCGTTTGACCTTGTCAACCCATGGGGCGCTCTAGTGAACAGGCGTTCCCCCAGATCCTGATGTACACCCCTTATCTACTTATGGTCAGCCACCAGGTCCCCCCTGAGCCTGAGCTTTACCAGGCTGAAGAGTCCCATAGCTCTCAGCCTTTCATCATAAGGCCTGTTTTCCTGACCTCTGACCATGTGCGTGGCTCTTCTCTGGATTCTCTCAAGCTTCTCCACCTCCTTTTTAAATTGTGGAGCCCAGAACTGGATGCAGTACTGCAGCTGCGGCCTCACCAAGGCCGAGTACAGCGGGAGGATGACATCCTGGGATATGCTGAAGAAGCATCTATGGATGTAAGCCAGAATTTTGCTTACTTTGCCAGCTGCAACATTACATTGGTGGCTCATATGCATCTTGTGGGCAATCATGACCCCCAAGTCCCTTTCGGCCATGGTGCTAGCAAGCGTAGCACTGCTGAGCCTATAACATGCTGCAGGTTTTTCTTCCCAAGATGGAGTACCTTGCATTTTTTGGTGTTGAAGGCCATCAGGTTTTCATCCACCCATTTTCTGAGCCTGTCAAGGTTGGCCTGGATCACCATCCTGTCCTTGAGTGTGGACGCTTTACCCCAAAGTTTGGTATCATCAGCGAACTTGGCCAGTCCACTTCTGAAACTAAAGTCCACATCATTAATGAAGATGTTAAAAAAGATAGTCCCAAGGACAGAGCCTTGGGGGACCGCACTAGTCACAGCGCGCCATAATGATTGACTTCCATCAACTACCACCCTCTGGGTCAGACCTCAGAGCCAATTCCCCAGCCATGTAGGCAAGGCCGCAGTTGGCCAGTTTTCCTATGAGATGATCATGAGTTACCAGATCAAAAGCTTTTTTTTTAATCAAAATATATAACATCAATCTCTTCTCTCTTGTCCAGGTGATATGTCACCTGGTCATAGAAGGAGATGAGATTGGTCAGGCAAGACCTACCCACAACAAACCCATGCTAGCTATCCATCAGGAAATTGCTTTCAGCCACTTTGTCAAGAATGGTCTCCTTGATGACTTTCTCCAAGATCTTCCCAGGGATAGATGTCAGGCTGATAGTTCCCCGGATCTACTTTCCTCCCTTAGGGCCTTGCCAACACACCTCCTGAGCTTGTTAAAGTTAGCTTTTCTGAAGTTAAGGACTTCTGCTTTGCTGCTTGGCTCGCCAGCTTTATGGCGGATGGTGAAGGTGATCAGCTCATGGTCACTGTCTCCCAGCTTCCCTTCAATCATTACATCACAGTTTAAATCATCCCCCATTGCCAGTACCAGGTCTGGCAGTGCTTTGCCTCTCGTTGGTCTATAGACTTCTTGAGTCAGATAGAGAGGAAGGTTTGTGACGTTCGGATGTGGCTGAGTGCTCTTCCCCTGAGATATCAGGGTAGTTGAAATCTCCCATGACAACCATGCACTGGGAGCGTGCAGCCTCAGCTAGTTCCCTGGTGAGTTCCTGGTCAAGCTCTTGATCTTGGCTAGGTGGTCTGTAGTAGACCGCCACCGTTGTGTCTCCTGTGCCTTGTTCACCATGGATTTTGACCCGAGAGTCTCCAATCATCCCCTCCCCCCCGCCCCCTCGGGTCCCAATGTCTGCTTGCAGGGATGCATAGCTTTGCTGGACATAGAGAGCTACTCCCACCCCTTTTTTCCCCTTGCCTGCAGGAGCTGGCATCTTCACAGGCTCTACTGGGGCCACAAGAGGTTCATACCTGCTACAAAGCCCCAGAGGGGAGGACACCTTGGTGTGGTGGACCTTGGGGCTTTTGACCACCTTGGTCCAACTCCCTGGTTGGACGGTATGGGAGAGCCCCGAGGCCTCCCTTGTCTTGGGAGGTGACCTTGGTCTGCCCTCCACCTCCAGGGGGACAAAGGCCTGGCAGTAGGAGTCAATCTCCCGCTCGCCATCCCCGATGGCATGTAGTCTCTGGACTGTGGCCTGGAGTTCCTCTATCTGGCGCACCAGAGACTCCAAAGAGGACCATACCTCTCAAGGGGAGGTGGCCAAGATCCTGGTCTCATGAGCCTAGAAATCTGCCAGGCAGCCCCCGTAGCCAAGAGCCAGGGGATTGGTGTGCATGGAGCCCGGAAATGTGGGTCCATCTGGGTGGAGGCCTCTGAGGTGCCAGGGGGGGCACAGACTCCGAGGGGACCCTTGGGTGCGGTGTGCGCCCATCCACATTTTGCCACTGGTAGCCCAGCTACTGATGGGACTAGCTTCCCTCAGGTGCACTGGCAGGCCTTGGCCCTCCCACTCATCCTTCCGTGCTAACTCATGCGCTGGGCAGACAAGTGGTCCTGTTCGCGAGGCCTGTTCACGAGGCTCCTGTCGTGTGGCTCCCTGGGGGATAGGCAAAGTAGGAACTGGGGGGGTCAGGTGTTTCCCTCCTCATCTCTGACTCAATAGCCCCATAGGTGACTGGGTTGGGGCCCTCCCTCTATGCCATGGGCCCCACCTACCTCTGGCTGTGCTGGGGGTCTGGGTTGGGGTCCTGCTGGGGGGCTATGGGGGTCCCTGGGCTCAACGGAGGTGCAATGGGATTCCACCTGTGCATCTGTCACCAGAGCCGGGGACAAACCCACCTTGGGCTCTGAAGGCCAGTGGCCTCAGCCACAGGTCCCAATAACAGGTCACCCACCTTGTCTCTGCCCAGCTTTGCTAACACCTGCCATTTGCATTTATTTAACATATTGCTTAATGTCTCATGTTGATCCCACCATGACAAACTTTCCGCCTAATCATTCCCAATATCATACTCTGTTCCCTTATTTACTACATGGGCTACATGGACTAGTCCCATCTACTCCCCCAACTTGCCAGTATC